TCAATCTCTATTACTTGGGCAAGCTTTCATTTCGCAGTGAGAGTGCTCTACTATAGTGTCTGGAAGGGAATTCTACTTTTCCCAGCTTTATTGAGATATAACTGACAAATAAAATTATATTTATTTAAGGTGTACAACATGCTGATTTGATATACATGTGCACTGTGAAATGGTTACCACAATCAAGTTAATTAACATCCATCACCTCACATAATTATTTTTTATGATGAAAACACTTAAGGTCTACTCTCTTAGCAAATTTCAAGTATACAATAAGGTATGATTAACTGCAGTCACACTGCTGTACATTAGATCTCCAGGACTTATTCATCCTATAATTAAAATTTTATGCTCTTAAAACTATTGCTCGCCAAGTCTTGCATTTCTAGCTATGCCACTGTATACCAATCTTTATTTTCTATTAACCCACTAAATTTATAGTATTATCCTAATTGACATTTTTTTTAAAATCTGAGAACTAACAGAAAGCATCTGTAGATTTGTATCATACCTCTTTTAGATCTTCTTTTGGTTTCCCCTAGACTTATTCTGAATTCTTTTAGGACTAGGATATATAAAAGTACCATAATTTGAAAAGCTAAAGTACTGCACTTATTTCCAGTTCATTCATGGAGTGCCTACTCTGTGCTGGGCGTGGCAATGCCAAGCATGGGAATCTAAAGATGAAGCAGACGTAGGTTCTGCCCTCATGAAACTCACTGTCAATAATGGGAAGTGTTTAAACCAATACTTATAAGCCCTCACTTAAAAAGAAATTCATTAAGTTAAAATAGTCTGTGAATTTCAAAAGCCATGTCAAACTGGAAAATACTGCCAACTTTTTCAATTTAATTACCAAGAGCATGTTGCTGTCCTTCCCCTTTGAAATCACAAAGAAACTAGGGTGGGACTTATTAGGAATTTGTCTTCAGGCCCCTTGCTATAACAGTTTCTTGGATATGAAAACATCCTTATTATAATATTATTGTTATATTTAATCAATAAATCTCCCTTGGGATGGGGTGCATACTCAAGCACATTTACTGAATTTAGCTTTATAAGTAGTAAAAAGACATATTTTTAAAAAAATTTAACATAGTAGTAACATTGTTTAGGTGACATTAATTAAGCACTTACTATATCCCAGGCTCTATTATTATCTTTCCCATTTTACATATGAGGAAAATGGGGTTCAGAGAGATTAGCTAACTTTCCAGGCTGCCCTGAGAGTCAGTGACAGTTACCTGAATATTCACTCATTAATATACTGCCTCTCCATGACTTAGCATTGGCCTTTCAAAACCCTTGCCTATCTGCTAATGCATTTTGTCATCTCCCACCTACCCTCCTTCCCCTCTGCCCTCCATTCGCCATCTGTGACCTTCTAGCTGACTAGGAATAAACACAAACACCTCATGTTTCTCCCAATTCTGATTCCCCAGCCCATTGACAAACTACTTTGAAGTTCTATAGTAATCACATTTATGGCCAATAACCTTTCTGCAATTGATCATGTCCTTGAAACTCACCAAATATGATAAATATGCTGACAAACTGTCTAAACACATCGATGTCCTTCACTGAAAAACATATGGAAGTTTATTTTTTATCCTTGTGAGAGCCCAGTCCCTTGACAGTGATTTGTGAGACACAAGATTGAGCACTTGAGAATCTCTGCTCTACAGCAAAGAGTTACAGTCCAGTATACTTCGAGACTCTAGACAGCATCAAGGCCGAAGTACAGCAGCCCTCAAGCTTGGTAGGTGGTAAGAATCTTGAGGTGTATTCCATAGACTCCCAACTCTCCTCCCTCCAGTGGTTAGAGATGATGGATTCCAAGCCTCTGCTACACCTCTCTCCAACCTAACAGCTCTCCCAGATCCTCAGAGCATTTATTACTATCTTTATCCAAGTGGGCCATAACATTAAATGAAGTCTAATATTCTGAGACTTGCTCAAAACCCAAGAAGACATTGTCGAGAATACTGCCCCTGAAATCTCCTAGTCATATATTTATTTACACAGAAAAATGTTACTGTCTATCCTGAATGTCCTCTCCAAGGACATAAACTCGTAACTTTGTCCTATCTATTTTAACTACTTACTGATACTGTGCAGAACTGACAGAACTGGCTATGCATTGCCTTTCTTCCCAAGTTCAGTCAATAGATACTTTCTTCCTCTACCCTGCTCATTTCCTCTGGGCTTTTCTCATCACTTAGTCACCATGTTCCAACTCTAAAGAATCAACCCAAGAATTTACCAAAACTGAAGAACAAGAAACAAAAAAGTGTAAGTTATAGTTCATCTGTTTAAAATAAGGAGTAAAGGAAACTGAGCATTCTGTGACAATGGTGCATAAGGACAGGCCAAGGCCACAGGCATGGAATTCTGAGGTACAACCCAGGCTTCCAGGGTTCATCCTGCTCCTAAACTGAGTTGCTAATCAAGAAGCTCCTTACAAAAAATACCACATGATCTCACTCATTCATGGATAATAGAGACCATTATAAACTTTTGAACAATAATAGATACAGAGGCAGAGCTGCCTCAAACAGATTGTCAAACTGCAGCGGGAAGGCCGGGGAGGGTTGGGGGGCAGGAGGTGGGGGGGAAAGAGATCAACCAAAGGACTTGTATGCATGCATATAAGCATAACCAATGGACATAAGACACTGGGGAATAGGGGAGGCTAGGGAACTGTCTAGGGCGGGGGGGGGGGGAAATGGACACATATGTAATACCCTTTGTAATACTTTAAGCAATAAAATAAAAAAAAAAATAAAAAAAAATAAAAAAAAAATAAAAAAAAACAAATCAATAAAAAAAAAAAAGAAGCTCCTTACAAAAGCTTAGTAATAACTTATTCTTGACTTGAATTCTACAGATCTGCATAATACTTTAGAAACGCCTCTGCTATAACTCATGTAGGGATAAAACTTTATTGCACATTTTATTAGAACTTAGAGAAACTAGTCATTCACCCAATTCAAACACTTTATAAAAATGACCAAGACATACTGCAATTAAGTCAGAGGCTTATGTTATATTTTCTAGTTTTTTACTTACAAGCCTTTGCTGGCTCATAAGATAAACATAAGGTATGAAATTGTCCATTTTGGATTTACCTTATATACAATATAAAGAGATGCTGGTATTTTTGAATTGTGTATTAAATAAAATTCCAATTATATTCTTTGAAAAGAAAACTCACTGAAACTTGATGCCAAGGATTTCAAAAATTTGCAGAATCGCTGCCCTAGCTGGTTTGGCTCAGTGGATAGAATGTCCACCTGTGGAATGAAGGGTTCTGGGTTTGATTCCCGGTCAGGGCACATGTCCGGGTTATGGGCTTGATCCCTAATAGGGGGCATGCAGGAGGCAGCCGATCAATGATTCTATCTCATCATCGATGTTACTGTCTCTCTCTTCCCTCTCCCTTCCTCTCTGAAATCAATAAAATATATATTTTTTCTAAAAAATTGGCAGAATGGAAAGTTACTTTTTAGTGTTTCTTTAAAGAAAACTAAATTTGTCAAATCATAGGCAAGCTCATTTTTCTAGAATAGGTTCTCAGCAACATGGAATTGAATTTGGTCTGTGACCTAAATGGCTCAACAGATGTTTCTTTCAAAAAAAAAGAAAAACAAATTATGTTCTGAAACTCTTTTCTTTAACTCTTCTCTGAAGCAACACACCCTTCCAGCTTCTTTGGAAGGAGAGGAGCCTCTGTTTACCACAGGTATAACGATGCTGGTCCCTCCCTGCACTTCGTCTCCAAAGACATAAACTCAGTTATCAATGTTCATCCACTCAAAGACATTCAGTGAAGAGGGAGAGAGAATAGATCTCTGTCAAATGTCATCCCCATGCAGCAGCATCTAAGAGCAGAGGGAACCATGTCAACAAATCTCATTCTTAGTTTTGGGAACTTGGGTTGTTTTCCATGGACTTCTCTGCAACAGAAAAAGTGCTACACATATAAGGCTAGTTTCTGAACCTACTGGAGATAACCCAAGACCTTCAAACCTCCTGGAACCTAAATCACTGCAAACATTCATGGCCAGTTATCCTAGGAAGTTTGAGTTGCAAGTAACTGCTGGTATTCTTCTTGATCACAAATGGCTCATCAATCTTATTCCTGGAGAGTTCAAGAATGCCAGGGTCAGATGCTATTGCTCCCTTATATGAAATGGTTTAATGCAAATAACCTAGACTTTCTTAAATGTCATTGTTCTCACAGAACACTAACACCAAAGGATGTTGATAGGTATGAAGCATCCCTTGGTTGGGTATATTTGGAAAATTCTGAGTTAAATATAGTGAAGCAGATTTCTTGAATATGAGACATCTCAGGACTTTTCATAAGTTTAGGAGCACTGGGAATTTCCAAGACACCTTCAGCAGGTCTTTGATTTGCTGTACCTCCTATCTTTAAGGGCTTTCCATGGCAAGATAAATTTTAGCTTATAAATGACAGAAAGGACCTTTGAAAACCTAACAATAAATACTTAATGATATCAGGGATAAAAATAACAGTCTGGGATACCCCCAAAGATTATGAAGGTTCCAGGGAAAGGCAAAGGTGATAACTGCAGAGGTCACTGTATTCTAGTTTACTGATTTAATCCAAGGTGCTCCCCAAAAGGCCCCCAGCATAACCTGCTCAAACATCTGGGACACAAGTCTGAGGATAAAGGACTCTCACCTAGAGTTATTTAAAATAAAAATTGCATCCTAGCTGGTTTAGCTCAGTGGATAGAGTGTCAGACTGCGGACCGAAGGGTCCCGGGTTCGATTCTGGTCAAGGGCACGTATCTCGATTGCAGGCTCCTCTCCAGTCCAGGCCCTGCTCATCAGGGTGCTTGCAGGAGGCAACCAATTGGTGTGTTCTCTCACATTGATATTTCTCTGTCTTTCCCTCTTTCTTCCACTCTCTCTAAAAATCAATGGAAAAATATCCTCAGAGAGGATTAAAAAACAAAACACAATTGTAATGAGTGCTCACTTTGGTAGCACATCTACTAAAATTGGACCGATACAGAGATTAGCATGGCCACTGTGAAAGGATAACGCACAAATTCATGAAACATTCCATAATATTTTATATCAGTTGTACTTCAACAAAACAGTAATTTCAAAAAAGAAAACAGAATATTTTTTCAATGTAAAAAATAACAAATGCAGTGATGTACATTAAAAATGTGTTTCTCTCAGAATTACATATGTAAGATAATGTTCTCCTTCGTGCAAAAAATATAAACCATAAATTAATATGCACTTAATTCCTAATATCTAAAAAACTTTTGAAGCCAAGAATAAAGTAAAATCTGTTCACTAGGTGTTCCACCACACTGGAATTCCTATACTAAGGAAATATTCCCATATGGAATTTCAAGGATACACAAGGACAAATTTGTGTTTCTATTGAGATATTTTTACAAAATGAGCAACTTGGCATGAGATATATATATATGAGTCCTAATCAATTTTTGAAAATATATTTGTGAATTGGCAGTTATAAAATAATCATGGGTATATAAAGTACAGCACAGGGAAGTCAATAATATTATATTAACTATGCATGGTGCCAAGTGGGTACTAGACTAAACAGGGGGTCACTTTGTAAGTTATATAAATGTCTAACTACTATGATGTAAACCTGAAACTAATATAATATTAAATGTCAACTGTAATTGAAAAGTTAAAAATTACATATATTTGTGGAACTGATAAGCTGTATACCTGGGAAAATGCCCCCTTTTAAAAAATATGTGAGAACAATTATAATTATTACATCCTAATATTTACATGCCTATTTTCCACATTTCATCAGTTTTTCACCACAGAGCTATCAAAGTTGCCAGAGAATCTAAATACCAAATTACATTTATTGCAATATATACATATGTTATATTTTATACATCATGATTTAAAGGAAATATATAAATTTATTTTTCATTTATGAGAATGTGATCATATGCATAACTATAGAAATACAGAATTAGGTGCAAAAATTAACATTCAAGTTCAGTTCTATGCGCATTTGTTCTACATGCAACACACAAACCTCATTGATCTAAAATGTCTAATTTATCATAACCAAAACATCTTTTATTTCCTTCATTTGATTTTATAATTCTCTCAGGGAAATGGGTAGAGTGCTACATTTAGAGTGATCAAATAGAATCTCTTAAGATAAACTATTATTTGAATTTTAAATCTGTAGCTAGTGAAAATCAAAGACACATGTAATCAGATATTTTTATTATTTGTGCTACACAATTCCACATGTATTTAATTAACAAGTGTTGAGAGTAGATTGTGACCATAGCTTATTTTGCTCAGTGGGTAGGGCATCATTCTGCAGACTGAAGGGTCCCAGGTCCATTTCAGTCAAGGGCACGTACCTCAGTTGCAGGCTCGAGCCTGTGTGGGAACCAATTAATGTGTCTCTCTCTCTTTCTCTCTCTCCCCCTCCCTTCCACTCTCCCACTCTCTCTAAAAATAATGGAAGAATATCCTCAGGTGAGGATTAGAAAAAAAAGAATAGGCTGTGACTGCTGAATGATGTTATATCTTGATTTGTGCTTTAAACCTGACTGAGCATGTCTTCATTGTATGAATTATTGAATAATTCAGTATTATTATTTTAAAGTGTAGCTCATTACTTAGATTTCCCCAAATCACTTACAACTTCCTGATCAATTTCAAAACACAGGGAACTCTTACTTTCATTAAATTATTATAAGTGCACATTAAAAGGTAAGCATAAAAGAAAAGTCTAAAAGATAAAAAATGTTCTCTTACCCAAGAACAAGAGATGAAGAAACTGATGAGTGTTGTATGTAGACACTGGAGAGTCTATCCAGAAGACCTTAAAAGAAACAGATGTTTCCAAATCAAAAACAGCCCTTATAGAAATACAAGGGAAGTTACTATCATGTAACTGCACATCCAATATAATAATCCAATATAATAAGAGGCTAATATGCAAATTGACCAAACAGCGGAACGACTGGTTTCTATGACTCGCACTGAGCACCAGGTGCTCAACACAGGAGGAGCACCGCTCAGCCAGAAGCCCTGATCCAGGCTCACGGCTGGCAAGCACAGCAGCAGTGGTGGGAGCCTTTCCCGCCTCTGTGGCAGCGCTAAGGATTTCCAACTGATGGCTTAGGCCCCCGGGGGAGTGGGTCTAAGCCGTCAGTGAGACATCCCCCAAGGGCTCCTGGACAGTGAGAGGGTGTAGGCCAGGCTGAAGGACTACCTCGAGTGTATGAATTTCATGCGCCAGGCCTCTAGTTTAAAATAAAGATAAGAGAACCCTTTTCAACTACCAAGATTTTCCAGGTTAGAGACACTGGGATTGCTCCTCACCCACAAATGTTCTTCAAGTGCTTCTAGCTTCTGCATGAAGTTGAATTTCTTTAGTCTCTTAATTCTAGTCCCCTTCAATCACCATGGTAGCCTCCTTGACCAGAGGGTCTAAACTTTCTGATGTTATCTTGCCCAGTGGCCTTAATACAAGACCTAGAGATGATAGGATCTGCCTCTGTACCAACTCTTTTTTTTGTGTAATAAAAAAACAACAACTTCTATTTGTAATCCTTAACTTGGTTTACAGATATAGAAGTGAATGTTGATGTTCATGAATTTCTTCTAACAGGTGCTATGGAGTTGCTTTGCATTAGGCAGGGAGTAGTCCTGCCTTCTCTAAGAGACACACAATCCTTGAAACAAAATGGCATGGTCCCAAAATAGAAATCTGTTTCTGATGTTTGGAAAACATACTCCACACCATCTGTGAAGCCTAAAGGTATTTGGGGATGTGTATACATGCTTTTTTATCCAAAATGATATAATTTTCCCCAGTTTTTCCAGAATCATGTAGAATGTTGTCTTGTGCATGCTCTCCGCAGATTTCTCCTTCCTGAGCCCTCTAGAGGTCTTTGTATACCACTATATCAGGAGAAATCACTTTCTAGGATGCATTATTACTATCCAAGCCCTTGTTGGTCTCCCCCCACTAGAGCATGAGCACGAGGCCAGAATCTGGTCTCATTATTCCCTGTCCCCAGCATCTGGCACATAGTAGAAGCTTAAGAAGCATCCACTTGCCCGGCCAGGTAGCTCAATTATTTGAGAGTCATCCTGTGCACCAAAAAGGTTGTGGGTTCGATTCCCAATCAGGGCACATACCTGGGTTGTCGGTTAGATTCCCAGTGAGGGCACATGCCTGGGTTGTGGGCTTGATTCCTGGTTGGGGCCCACATGGGAGGCAACTAATTGATGTTTCTCTCTCACATCAATGTCTCTCTCTCTCCCCTTCTTCTCTCTCTAAAATTGATAAAAATATCCTTGAGTGAGGATTAGAAAAAAAGAAGCATCCATTGAAAGGAATCATGGCCATTCCTCAACAGATGACCTTGGTTCACATTAACGCAAGTGCAACTGCAAGAACTCAGCTGGGTGCCTGTGGTACACTCATACACAATGCTTATTCCACTGGTAACCGGCATCTAGGACTACTTGTTTGGTACCATTCTGACCTTGAGAAATATCTTCTGACAAGATTTGTCACTTGACACCATTATGAAGCAAGCAAAGATGTATACTTTAGAATCCAAGTGATTACATTTACTTATTCAGTTATTCATGTCCCAAATAGTTATCTACTATAGGAAAAGCACTGTACCAGCTGTTTTTATTATTGTCATTGTTGTTAGGCCTTAAAGCTAAAAACCTACAGAGAAATAATTATTATTTTAAAGAAGAGTTACATAACTGTAAAAAATTCTTTACATTGAGCAGGTGGAATGTTGAGAAGTATAGGAATAAAATGGGAAAATCAATGCAATCAGACAGGCTGGGTTCTATTTAAATTGTAAGATACCTGGTCACTACTGCAAATTTCTGAGACAGGACTAACAAGATCAGGTCAATTTTAAGAAAAATGATGCAAGAAGCTCAAAGAGACAGGCGGAGAAACATTTGAGTTTAGAGAGTAGTTGTTGGGAGAAGAAGAAAAGCAAGATGTAAGAGAAGATTGATATCAGACATGCTATATAGGAGACCTCCTAATATGAGAAGGGACAATGAGTAAGTTAAGAGGTGGATGTGACACCATTATGGGCCTAGGGACAATAAGGGCTGAAGTGGCAGAGGGTCAAAAGGCCAGAGCTATTCTTTACTAAAGGGAAGCTGGGTAATAGAAGAGTCTGGAGAGAAAATCTACCAGTTAAGTAGGCATCAATGAAACATTCAGGAAAACCTACCCTATATCTGACATATATTAATTTGACCATAAAGACATGATAGATAGTTCGACAGATGACTTGGAACTCTCTTCCAGCTTGGAGAGTCCATTATTCTGTAAGACAGGGGTGGGGAACGTACAGTCCTCAAAATCATTCGATCTGGCCCTGCCAAGGCATTAGGGGTGAGTTAATTAAATGTTTGAGTAAATATAGCAGGCTAAGTTGGTAATTTTGCATGGCCCATGAATGACATTATAAATATCCAAATGGCCATTGGTAGAAAAAAGGCTCCCCACCCCTGCTATAAGACATGCGTACCAAGAATATGTGAAATTCAACTAATCACTAGATTACCCTATGATGAGAGTGACCTGAGGATGAGAAGATAAAACCCTGGAAATATTCAATTAGAAGGACGGAGGAGAAAAGCAGTAGCAGAAGAGAGAAGAGAGCCAAAACAACTGAGGAGGTAAGCACAGAAGAACAGCTTCTCCACTCCAGATAAAAACAAGGAAGCCCAGCATCAGAAAGGAAACTGAGAGAGAATTGAAAACAACAGATAAGGATATGATATTTTGCATAACGTCAAAGAGAACAACAATTTTAGCACTCCTGAACTCTATGCCACTCCAATATGTTCCATTTGAGGAATAATTTGTCCTTTACCAAAAATATCTTAAACACAAGAAGGTTTTGCCAGTGTTCAACTTATTAGCAATGCCATTTACAAAACCATTTTATTCCACTATTCCTCCTAGAAACATCTAACCTGGTTGACCTCCCTCCCAGCCCTGCTGCCTCTGCGGGGGTGGGGGTTTTAGGGGGGAGGTTGGGGAGGTGGGGG